GGCTGGACTGGATGAATCTCAAGCCGGAATTAAGATTGCCAGAAGAAATATCAACAACCTCCGATATGCAGATGGTACCACTCTGATGGCAGAAAGTGAGGAGGAATTAAAGAACCTTGTAATGAGAGTGAAAGAGGAGAGTGCAAAAAATGGTCTGAAACTCAACATCAAAAAAACTAAGATCATGGCCACTGGTCCCATCACCTCCTGGAAAATAGAAGGGGAAGATATGGAGGCAGTGTCAAATTTTATATTCCTGAGCTCCATGATCACTGCAGATGGAGACAGCAGCCACGAAATTAAAAGATTCCTGCTTCTTGGGAGGAAAGCGATGACAAATCTTGACAGCATCTTAAAAAGCAGAGACATCACCTTGCTGACAAAAGTCCGAATAGTCAAAGCTATGGTTTTCCCTGTTGTGATGTATGGAAGTGAGAGCTGGACCATAGAGAAAGCAGACCGCCGAAGAATTGATGCCTTTGAATTGTGGTGCTGGAGGAGGCTCTTGAGAATCCTCTGGACTGCAAGGAGAACAAACCTATCAATTCTAAAGGAAATCAACCCTGAGTGCTCACTGGAAGGACAGATCCTGAAGCTGAGTCTCCAATACTTTGGCCATCTGATGAGAAGAGAAGACTCCTTGGAAAAGACCTTGATGTTAAGAAAGTGTGATGGCAAGAGGAGAAGGGGACGACCAATGATGAGATGGCTGGACAGTGTCTGCAAAGCAACCAACATGAATTTGACACAACTCCGGGAGGCAGTGGAAGATAGGAGGGCCTGGCGTGCTCTGGTCCATGGGGTCACGAAGAGTCGGACACGACAAAACGAACTGGACCTTCTGCTGCCAAGTGGAGTATTTATCTCCATTTAGCTTCTTAATTATCAGTCCAGACATTAACATTTCACTTACCATTTTCACAGACTGTAGACAAAGCTGTTTTTACTCACTTCTGCTGCTTGAACACTTCTTGGCTCTCTCCTTCAGGATTCACTCAGGTTAGCAAACTCTCTGGTAGTTTCTTGGGCGTGTACCTGGGTGTAGACCTGGGTGTAGAAGATACCAACATGAATTTGACCAAACTCCAGGAGGCAGTGAAAGACAGGAGGGCCTGGCGTGCCCTCGTGCATGGGATCATGAAGAGTCGGACAGGACTTAATGACTAAACAACAACAAATGTGGCAATTATATATGTTCTTTGAACTAAACACTGGTTATGCAGCACACAATCTCCTCAAGCAACGCGGCTGATTATCTCACGTTAGAGCCACCCTGTGCAGCCAGGTACAAAGCAGAAGCTTCCCGCCTGGCAAAAGTACTGTGAGAAGCAGTCCAAGAGTTGCAGCTTGGAGGGCAATGTCAACAACATACAACATGCACAATCAACAATGGATGCCTGCTCTGCAGGGCTATAATTAATTATGCCCCGCCCATTTAGATTCAACGAATTTACTCTGGGTGGCTTACAGTCCGAATATAAAACAAGAATTAAAACAAGCAATATCACACAGCATGAATAATCACCTGAAAGAATATCTCAAAAGTTTCTCAGGGTTTTGCTTATCCTTCACCTCCGACAATGGGAAAGGTAGGGGTGACTGATAAACAGGCATCTTCATTATTGCCAGTGTAATTACAGCCTTATACTCAGGCAGATTGAGCTCCGGCAGCCATATTCTGTCTCATCTTCAGACTTGCAGTAACAGAGTTTTGTTCTTCAAGTCGCTGTAGTGGTGCTGCCACCCACGGATATAGTTGGTCCACTTGCTGAGCACTCTGCAGAGCTCAACAGGCGGCCCGGATTCGGTCTCGGGATCCTCCTCGGAGCCAGAGGAATTCCAGCTTTGGTTGTCCGACATGGAGTCGCGTCCCTCGGTCACTCTCCAACGAAGAACAAAATCATCCACCTCTTCTATGAAAAAGCATGTACTTTTTCAGGTAATCCAGAATTGTACTTGAAATTATAAAACTCTTCCGTTTTTATAATACCTGCGTCTGCATGCACAGGAACTGATGCATTAGATTTAGCTAAGCTCCAGGTTACTTCTGATCCTAAAACTCTTTCTGACATTTCCAAAATGTAATATACAGTGGTGTCTCGCACAACGAGTGCCTCACACAACGATGAATTCACATAACGATGTCTTATTCTGATCAATTTGCTGCCTCACACAGCGATGTTTCCTATGGGGGATTTTCACATAATGATGTCCCTTTTCCCTCATTTAAAAGTGTCTTAAACTGTTAGGAAACTGTTTTAAATGCTTGGCATCGATAGTCCAGCTTGTGAAAGGTATGCAAACTGAATTTGGTGTTGTTCTGAGTCTTCGTTCATTTTTGCTGATTTTTTTATTTTTC